TGAAGCCTTAAAGCCCTCAACCCTAAACCCCAAAAGACCCAAATCCCTAAAGCCCTAAGCCCGACAAACCACGGTTTTACCCTAGCTGTCATGTGATTATCCATTTTCCGTTCTGTTGGATTGCCATCGTTCGAGTTATTCTAGCCCGAAGCACTAAGCCCCGAAACCCTACAACTTCAATGAGAACATTGTGGTTTCCGGCTTCTTTTCAGATCACTTTCGACCCTTACTATGGTAGTTTCTTTGTCTTCCCCTATCCTTGAGGCCGGAAGCCTTGAACCGCAAAACGTAGACACCCCCATCCCCGCTTTCAAGGGACCTCTGTTAGCAAGGACTGAACGAATGGATCCTTTTTGTAGCCCCTATACAACCCAAATAATGCGTACAGTAGTTTACATTTTCCACTCCCTCGCTAAACCTTACACAGTAAACCCCAAGCACTAAACTCAGAGCAGATGTAGGTCCCTAAGGGTCCAAGTACCCATTAATCATCTACTTACCCAAAACCTGTGCTATAATTACTATTACCCAAATCCCAAGTACCGGATTATCGGGTACTTAGACCCTTAGGGGGGTGGTAAACCCTAAGCCCTAAACCCTAAACCCTTAGGCCCCGTCGCCGGCCTTCGCCGGCACCACGGCCAGCCGAAGCGAGAGCACCTCGAAGACCGCGGCACGCTACACCACGCCGCTGGGAGTTTTTTGAGTCTATGTTTAGGTTCTACGTGGGGTTTAGGTAGCGTAGAGGGTTGTCTAGGGGATCTAGGGTTTAAGGTACTAAGGAGTTTAGGTTTTAGGGCACGGGGTTTATTTTAGGGCGGTATTCAGGGGTTATATTAGGTTTATGGCTAGAAATAATGGAGAATCAAACGGAAAAGAATACACCGTCATCTGAGATTATAGAGGCATCTCTGGAAATTATACCCTGGGGCTCCAACCTGCCCAATGTGGGTAATAGCTGGGGCCCAAGATGGGTATTATTCACAGACTTGGAAAGGGTCTTGTACTGAGTTTCAAAGCTTCAGCATTGAGTCTGAGGTTTTTTGAATTCAAGGGTGGGGGAGGTTTGTCAGAGCGTTAGTTTAGGGCACCCTATTCCTTAGCCTCAAGCCCCAGACATCCTGAATCTCAAGACCTAAGACCTATGCTCCGCACGTCCCAAGCGCATTTCCCCGAAAGTCTTAAACTGGCTAAAGCCTACCTCCTATAACCTTGCCAGCACCTACGAAGCCCTCTGATCTCTACCCCCCGGTAGTAGAGGAACCTGTGATTTTGTGATCCCTTGTCCCCTTGTCCCATGTCATTTGTTCATGTTCTTGCCCATGTCCATGTGATTCTCCCTCATTCTATATCTTCAAACCTAAACTGTAATCTCTAAACCCCTAAACCCCTAAGCTCTCTACCCCGAAGCCTCTAAACCCTTCAACATTACTATGAACCCCTCTGAAGCCCAGGCAGACCATCTTCCCTAAACCCCTAACCCTGGACCCTCAACCCCACGCCCTAACCCGACCTTAAACCCTAAACCCTAAACCCCTAAACCCTAAAGCCTAAACCCCCTAAACCCTAAATGCTAAAGCCCTTGAAGCCCAGGCAAACCATCCTCCCATCTTTGGCCTGGATCAAAACGGGCGTGAAGTCTTCGGAGCTCCAGCCAAAGCAGCTCAAGGCCTCGGGGCCCAGCTTAGGATTGTTTAAGGGTTTGGGGTCTAGGGTTTAGGGTTTAGGGTGTTTGTTGGTTTAGGGTTTAGGGTTTAGGGTGTTTGTTGGTTTAGGGTTTGGGGTTTATGGTTTAAGAGTTTAGGGTTTAAGCCTTAAAGGGTGTGAGGAGTAGGGTCTAGTCGTTGGGTTTCTAGGGCCTAGAGGTAGCCCCCAACCAAACACCCAGGCCTTTGGACCTCCTCTGCCTAACAAGATCAGTTCAGGCTTGCAGGACCTTTGCGATTGGCTCAAGAAATCTTGGGGCCGGCCCCCAGGCCCTGGGACCTTGACCCCCAAGCCTCAAAAACTACGGTTTTTACCTTTGGGAGGTTGGGATCCCAAGCAAATGCCGCAAACCTTAAAGCCTAAACCTTACACCCTTCACCTTACACCCTTAACCTTAAGACCCTTAACCTTCAACCCTACAAACCCTCAACCACAGGCCCTGACCTTGGCTGGCAACGACGTTCCCGGGCCAGATCTGAGGGGTTTAGGGTTTGGGGTTTAGGGTTTAGGCTTAGGATTCAAGAGGTTAGGTTATCTGACTTGCAGGGTTGAGGTTGAAAGTTATAAGGTGTCATAGGGTCTTGGATATATGGTTGATGTTCTGAGCTATCAGGTTCACAGAGCTCAGGGTCCACATTTTTGTACAGACAAACATCACATCAGACTGGACGTGTTAGGCGGTATGTGTTGATCAGTGGGATGGTCGGGCTGTCATGGGCTGTCAGGGACATCGCGGACAAGCTTCGGAGAGTTTCGTTAGTATATTGATTGTCGCGCGAGATCCAACATTTGTCTAGGACATCCTTGGAGCATGCAAGCGGCGTGCAGCAATCGTCAGGGTCCGTGAGGCTTCGCGCCCAAAAGAGAGACAGGTCGCTGGCAGTCCTGGACAGGGCCTGGGCACTTGTTGCTGCCCAGGTCTGTTGTCGAGACGTTCCTGTTCAGTGCCGCCCTGATACGGACTCTTGAGAGCTGACCTCAAGTGCTCGAGGTCTCCAGTCTACGTAGGAACAACATGTTAAACCCTGCACCCCAAAACCGGAAACTCAACCTTGATCTCTCACCCCTATAGCTGCCCCGCAACTGCAAACTGAGCGTACGCGATACATTTCACTGTTAGCAAGCCAAACTCTGGGGTAGGCTCTCAGCCCCCTGCGCGTGAATGTTAGGTCTCTACTTGGAGGGCCAGGGTTTAAGGTTCTAGGGTTTAATTAGGGCTTTGTGTGTAAGGTTTAGGGTCTAGGGTTCAGGGTCAGGGGGAATTCGTGAGTGTATTTCGAACCTCTATAAGCCACAGAATAGCACCCAGTGATCCTTTTTACCAGCCTACGCACTTACACCCTGACCCTCTAGGCAGACCATCCCTGGATCCTCCGATGCGGTGGGCTTGGACGGTGGTCTGAATTTGGGTCGGCCAAGATTTTCCGCAAAGCCGCAAAAGCCCAAACCGCAAAGTCCAGAAAGCCCACATCGTAAAGCCCTGAAAATCCTAGAGCTTTGTGTAAATACCAGTTTCCTGCCCAGGGGCCTGAAGTAGGGGTTTGGGGTTTAGGGGTTTAGGGGTATGTAGAAGTAGCACCTATTTTGGGCCATTGGGATCCCCAGGGTAAGCCAAGGCAAGGCCAAGGTGGAAGTTCAATTCCACGAAGGTAAGCTTTAGGGCTTAGGTTTTGGGATGGTGTAGGGTTTAAGGTTTAGGGTTTAGGTTTTGGGCTTAGGTTTTGGGAGCGTTGGATGGGGGAAGGCCTGAACCCCTCAACCTCTATGCCCTACACCCTAAACCCTAAAACCCTCAACCCTAAGACCCTAAACCCTAAACTGTACGCCCCTACAGCCTAAACCCTAAACCCCTACACCCTACACCCTCGACCTTCAAACCCTTAACCCAAAGACCCTAAACCCCAAACCTCAAACCCTAAAACCCTAAAAACCTAAACCCTGAAACCTAAAACCCTAAACCTCTAAAACCATGAACCCCTACACCCACCCTCAACCCTAAAGCTTAAAACCCTACACCCCAAACCCTAAAGCCCTAAAGCCCCTAAACCCTCAAACCCCCCAAACCCCCTAAACCCCCAAACCTTAAACCCTGAAACCCGAAACCTGGAGCCGACCCAGGTCTTGATCGGCAAGACGGAGGCTGGCTCCCTCTTCTGCGTGGGCAACCTGTGCCTGGGTTTAGGGTTTAGGGTTGAGGGATTTCCCCAACATTAGGGGATAAGGGGCATATATGAGCTATAGTCTAAAGTCCTAGTACCTTAAAGGGGGACATATATACATATATAGGGGATTATATAGGGTTTAGGGCTCAGGGTTTAGGGTCTACACTCAATGAAGGGGGCTACATAGTGGAGTATGATGATAGGGAATATTACGGGTGATAGACCTTGGCTCATTTTTTGGGATAATGGAAAAGAACATGGAAACCACTATTTAGGGTTCAGGATTTAGGGTTTCCCAAAAATTGGGGTCCCTTGTTTAAGGTCCCTCAAATTAGGGAGTTATGGTATTTGGGGGCCTGGGTTGGGTTTCCCCCCAGGTATGGTCTTATAGACTCCCTTAAGTAGATTACGGAATTCCCCAGCACTATATTAAGATCCTCATCTACCTCACATTTGGCCTACTGAAGGGGGATGAGGCTTTAAGGATTTCGCCGGGCTTGGGGTTTAGGTTTCACTCTAACCCTGACGGCCCATGTACCCAATGATTGGGTACTTGGGGTTTGGGTAATAGTAATTATAGTACAGGGTTGGGTAAGTACATGATTATTAAGTTCTTGGACCCTTCGGGTGCGGGTTTGGGAGCCTAAGCGCTAAACCCTAAACCCTAAACCCTTTTGTGGTAATGGATCCTGGCCTTGATTCTTGGATATCTTTCTTTCTCTGCAAGCTGGCCTCGATATTGGCACTCGCAGCGTGTAGAGCACAGAAGTTGAAACCACGAAGCTAAAGGTCATTGAAAGGCTTCGGATTAGGCAGCGACAGCCGCGCTAGAACCGCAACACGAAATGTCTGAATCCGACGCAGATCCAAACCCATGGCCCAAATGGAATGAGAAAGAAGATCTCACCTTGGTTTGCCTGCCCCAGAGCGACTTTTGGTGGGGCCTCCGCCTGTGAAATTCAGGCCCGAAATTTCAATCTTAACGTTGGAGAAACGGCCATAAATCTCTTCAAGAACCTGGGTTCCTCTGAAGAATCTCTTTGAAGGAGTCCTTCTTGTCTTAGGTGGTCTGTCCCATTTTTATGGGTATGACTCCTGGAAATGCTCAGGTGCCCTCACATCGGCACGCCTATGAGCGAGGGCGCGGACGTGATTGGCGACGTCATCGTGTGCCCACTTCATGGCTCTTCCTTCAAGGCCGGGCTTCTGGACCCGCAAGTTTGGGCTGCTTCCTTTCTCCAAGGTGTCCATGTAGCTACATAGTATATATACTCGGACCTCAAGGTACATAGACATAGAAACCCCTTTGGGCCCTAAGTATGTACTACATACCTACATGGACCCTTTGTCCGAAACGACCCAGCCATTTGCCAGAGAATGTCAAGATGAGGGTCGTACTTTTATCCACAAACTGTTTCGGATTCTTCTAATAGGGTCCGCATTCAGGATCCCCAAAGCGTCTTCCGTCCTGACCCTGAAGATTTAGGCCTAGAGGAAACTTGCTTTGGGCTTTTTAGATCCGTAGGTAACAGTTTCCAGAAATGCCTAAATAAGTGCGGGGACCATTTCACTTTCCATGCTATTGTCCATTTGTTTCGCAGTTCTCGGCTTTTCGGGGGCCCAGACCCTAGACCGAATACAATAGTCGAAAAGGTATCTAGGATCGGAATACTGCTACGTACTCATTCAGGCTTTTAGTGAGCCCACGCCCTACACCCTACTTGGAGGGTCAGTAAGTAGGTTAATATGGGGTTAGTACATGGCTCATAGCAGAGAAAAGTATCCAAATCAAGTCCATGACCCTAACCCCTAAACCGAAAATCCCTATACCAAGTTACAAGGATACTTACTCATCCCCGCTGACTCTAAACCCAAAACCGCAAACCGTACCTAGCTATCAGGATACCTAGACCCCGAAAGTAGGTAAAGTAACAGCCCCAAGCCCTTAAACATAGCTCAACAGCCCATTATTCTACATAACTTTGGTTTTCAGGATACTTACAACATCTTCCTGACCCTCCAAGTAAAGCGGAGCCAGCGTTCGCAAGGTGACGACTGGCGAGTTGTTGGACTGGTGCGTCTCCCCTCCTGTCACTTGAGCCATAGTGAAAAATTCCTGAAAGGTTTAGGGTTTAGGGTATAAACGCCTTAAGGGGGGCTTTATACGGGGGATTATATAGGGAAGTGTTATAAGGGCTAAGGGGGATACTAGCAGTTTAGACGATAGCTCACGCGGCTATCCTAAGGATCCATGTATCCAAGATTTGGAACATACGGGGTTTAGCATTCATGTACCCAATAAATTGTTTGTCTTGTAGTTGTTGTATCAGTTTAGGAGAAATATGTGATGGTTGAGTATTTGGACCCTCAGGGTACACTGAAGGACTTCTAGGCGGGTATATGGGGGCCTCCACGCAATCGAGGTTCCGTTGGGGGTCCCAGAATAGGGGTTAGAGCATCTAGAGGTATACAAGAAGGAGCCCCACGCGGCTTTGGACATAGCCGAACTCGACTCACTAGGGTAAGGCATATTCATAAGAGTGGGAGACTGGGCTGGAACTTTTCCGTAGCTTGTGAGGGTGCTAGCTAGGTGAGCTTTGTGAGCTTAAATCGCGATTTTGCAAAGCATCCTTTTCCACTTTCCTATATATCATATCCCGTGATGAGTGCAAGACTTCTATGCAAATCCCCAAACAATCACTAGATCAGCTTGTACCTTTCTTCTCCAAGCAAACATGGGGACAGCTTTATGCATTTTTGCGTGCGGCGTCCAGCACTTGGGATGCACGCAGGGGACTGAAGCTGCCCCCTAAACTAAACCCTGAACCCTAAGCCCTAAACCCTAAACCCTAAACCCCTAAACCCTAAACCCACCAAAATTCCTAAAGCCCCCTAAACCCCTTAAATTCCTAAACCGACTTCATGGGCCGCCACTTAGGTCATCGGCCCGCTGACCGGCCTGATCGTTGAGAAGAAGAATCTCCTGGTCTCAGGGCCTGAAGGGTCATCATGGGTGTAATACCAGGGTTCAGGGCTTAGGGTTTAGGGCTGAGGGTTTTTTGGCTTAGGGTTTAGGACTTAGGGTTTAGGATTTAGAGTTTAGGGATTGGGGTCTAGGATTTAGGGCCTAGGGTTTATTTAGGGCTGAGACGAGCTAGGTTAGGATTCAGGATCCCCAAGGAATCCAAGTAACCTACCAGACTCCGCCATGCCATACCTCTAGGGAAACCATAGTCTAAATTCCTTAAGGGGGAGAACGCATAGGGGATCATATAGGGTTCAGGGTTTAGGGTCTAAACTCCTTGAGTGGGGATTATATAGGGGGTTATATAGAAGAGTATTGTAGAGGTTATTTAGCGGGATACTAGGCGTTTAGACTATACCTCTATGCTAGGAACTTCTTCTGGCCTAAGGCTTAAAGCTCGAGGCGACAAAAAGGTTAAGCCCATGGAGCATGTTGCAACCTTGGGATTGTTTATCGTAGATGTAATTTCACATTGTTCATGATCCATTATACATACATCATGCAATATACGTATGTACGTGTTTATATGTCTGTGAATGTATGCATCCATGTATGCGTGTATGCATGCTTGCATGCATGTATGACAGTATGTAAGCATGCTTGATATGGTTCATCATTTGCTTTGCTGTAAGTCCTGCAATGTGCAGGTAGCTGATCAAACGGTTTAAGGGGGTGGTGCCAGTATATGTACACATATTCACCCCCAAGACCCAAACCCTGATAAATACGTAAATATACATGTATATATATACACATACGCATATGTGATTAGTTCTTTCTGTTGGCAGACACCGCCACACTCAACCCACACCCAGCTAGGCAGTATCCCTTCAAAAGGAAAAACCCTATACATTACATAAAGATCCCTAATATCATGTAAGGTATACTCCCCATTGTTAAACGCCCTAAACCCTATCCCTTAAACTAGATTCCCTTATGAAGGTAGATAGGGTACCTAGGTCTAAACCCTATCCTTCAAGGTATATTCCCCATGTAAGGGATAGTGGACTTTCTGGGTACTCAGGTCTTTGAGGTGCGACAGGGTGGCTTCCTTGGCTCCGGAGATGTGGAGGTGTCCGCGCCAGTTTGGGGTTTCAGGGCTTAATATTTACGTGGTTTTAGGGTTTAGGGGTTTTGGATTTAAGTTTGGGGGAGGTTAAGAGTTGAAGAGTCTAGGCTTTTTTTCTGCTTCAGGGTTTGGGGGTTTAGGGCTTTAGGGTTCAGGTCTTTTGTCACTATCCAGGCTTCTACATTCGGGCTACCCTGGCGATCAAATTTCAACCTAAAGTATTCGGAATCGGTTAAGTGCACTGTATTGTTATATAATGGTTACAAGGGATTAACATAGCGCAATATGCAGGCTTCTACATCAGGGTTACCGAACGGATCCACATAGCACGAAATAGGTGCAGTGGGTTCAGAGTTTCAGCAGTGGTACAATAGTGTTGATATCCATCAGCGTTTGTTTTGTGGTGTTTCAGCTATTTGTACGCAATGGAGGGGCCAGTTTCTGCAAGCTATGGATTTTCTAACGGGCTTTGATGAGAAGTTGCTGGTAGCATCATGGACCAACCGGGTCTATACGCAGGAGTCGAGGACGTTGTGAGCAGGAATGGGGTGCTATAATCTTTACCCTAAGGGTCCAGGTACCCAATCATCATGTATTTGCCCAAAATCTCTCCTATAATTACTGTTACCCAAATCTCAAGTACCCAAGTATTGGGTACATGGACCCTCTGTGTGCCCCTAAACCCTAAATAGTAATTTCCATTTTCTATTCCATTAACCCTACTCTTTAGGCACTCCATGCAATGAGGTGTTGGTGGACACCAACGCCAAGAAGGCCATGGCTACGATTCCTTCGTAAGTACGATTTAGAGGTTAGAGTTCAGGCCGTCAATGCGTCTCTCAACACATGCGGGTTCAGTTTGTGGAACATGTAATATTCAGGCGAGGTAAGGCGGGTGAGGGCAGTCCAGCTCTAGAGGGAGGGACTAGGGTGCAGCAGTCTGCAAGGGATCGGACATCAAGTGCTCAACAACTTACTCTTAATAATCCCTGTAGACCCCTACGTAATCCCAGTTTTATAGTCGATTTTTCATATTCTTGTCCATTTGATTCTCCATTATTGGGGGGTAATATTCCTATATGACCTCATTTTTTCAGGTATCATCCCTAAATCCTAAACCCTAAACCGCTTAGATAGGTGTTGGAGTGGTACGTGTTTAGGAGGTACTTGCTCCCTCACGGTTGCTTAGGTAGAAGGTCTTGGAAAGTCCAATATCCCGTAATTAGGCAATACACCCTGAATAGCACTAGGATCCCCAATATGGTTAATGTAGATAAAGCCCTAAACCCTAATTAAGGTATATTCCCAAATGAAGTGACATTGGACAATATGATTTGAGGTATACAAAATCTTAGACCCTCAACCCTAAGCCCTGAAGTATATTCCCAAATTAAGGGACAGTGGACTTTCTAGGAAGGTCTAGACTCCATGCTTGGAGGTGTCTACGAGACAGGGATGGTGATGTAGCTGGAAGAGTTAGGGAGACCATGCCCTTACCTCTAGCCATCTTCCAGTGTTTGTAATACATGTGTATATATATATATGAGCTGTAGTCTAAACTCCTTGAAAGGGTGTTATATGGGGGATTATATAGGGGACTACTATAAGGGCTTACTGAGGGGGATACTAGGAGTTTAGACAATAGCTCATATAATATGTATACATATATACATATATGGTTGTAGAGTTCAGTATATATGTATAGTTTAGGGTTCAGGGTTGAGGGTCTAGGGTTGGTTTGGGGATTAGGTGCCAGATGGCATCCAAAAGGTCTATTGCTTCTGGCAGGGATTAGGATTCGTAGCTGACTGCTTGGAGGTATCAGTTTTTTCAGGCTGAAGGCAATGCGGGTGTTGTCAGAATATTCTCGATGTATTCTCCAATACTGCCCAGTAGTGACCCAGTACATGCGATTCTCCTCTATACTGCTGGTATCTTCCTGGGCCCCTAAAGGTACCCAACCCTACACCTTACCCTGTTGTTGGAAATCCCCAGCACCAACATGAGTTATAGTTGTAGCTTCAAAAGGCGGCGTATCTGCCCGAGCCTGCAATAGAGAAAGAAGTGTAGACGTTTCTTGGTCTGGAAGAAGTCAGGAACTGGGATACGGCAATTGAGACATCCTAAACCCAAAATCCTACTCTTAAGACGGGCCCGATATATGAAGAATCTCAAGATCAACCAGAGTCCAAATAAGGACCGCCCGTATTTCCCTTAAAATCCCTATACATCCCTTGAGCTTGGGACCCCATTTTGAGCCCCCTCGTCGACTGGTTAACTGCCTCCTCTGACAGCCCAGAAAGCCAGATATCTCGTAATTAGGGGAATATACTAAGATCCCTGATATGCCTCAAGGTATATTCCCTAATTAAGGGATTTTGGGGTTTCTGGGATTTCCCTCAGAGAGCGTACGAAGCTGAACAACAGCAGCGTACATGCCATGTCAGCCTGATGATTTCATTCCCTAACTGCTGGTTAGCAGGGAATTAGGGAATATAATCATTACATAATCTCTATATAGAATTCCCTTGTTCCCTACTAACCCTGAGTAGGTTGCATGGCGTATGACTGACTGACTGAACCCCGGGTAGGTTCCTTGCACATGCTTAAATGTGGATGACTTCTCTGTTGTTTTCAACCTGCGTTTACAATGGCCTACATAAGTATGTTTGGGTTCCTTGTCTGTGGTTCCATGTTTGTGTATGTACAGACACACATGCAAGGACTGTCTTTGAAGGTCTTACAGACCCTATAGGTGATTCTTTGCAACAGCTCCCGACAGTAGCCGGCCATGAGACTCTCCACTCAGTCCCTGTTGTCATCCCCATGATTGCTGGGGTTCATGTATCTACCACATCTAGAAATGACTGGAGGCCCAACCCACACCCCCGCTAGGCTTCAAATCCTAAAGCGGAAGCACCCCAACCTATTCCCTTCACCCTCATCCCCTCCTTCGCAAATCCTAGACCCAAGTACAGAGGCTTGTTCAGAACCGCTGGAAGGCTGTAATGGGAAAAGCCTAATGCGTCCGGAGGCGTATGAGGCCTGGTACTGGAAGGGCCTTCTGGACGCACAGGGCAAGGATGATGGAACCTACTACTGAGGACAGCACTGAGGGCGGAAGCCTCGCTCCGGGTGCTGGGGGTGCCGGGGTATATTGGGTGCGGGTAACATTGGAAAAACAACATACAGATGAAAGCCATGTTTTCTCCTCCTAGTGGAACCTCCGATGAGCCCATGTGTTCTCATAGCGGAGATTAAGAGAGAATCATACGATTTCTACGGCCTTCTCCACACCTGCTTTGTCTCATCCTCTCTTCGTGGAGAGAATCGAGTTTTTACGGCGCCTACAGCTCGGCGTTGCAAAAAAGCTGCGGGTACGTCAGGGGTTGTGCACAGGCTGCGAGAACTTAGATTGCTGGAGGGTGGAGGGAGTTAGTCTGTAGGTCCATACTGGGCGCAGTTGGGTTATTATATACATACTGAGCCTCCCTGTCATTGAGGATGTGTGATTATGTTGTATGTTTGCCTTTTTTGACAAGTGAGGGGGCAATCAGTTGTGTAGGGGGATATAGAGATTGATGCGCTGTACGGGTTCGCTCGAAATTTGGAGTCAAAGGGCTAGCCTGCATCCGCCCCACTCTCTCCGCACGCCCTATCGCAGGATTGTAGTATATGGGCGTACAATTTGAGAGCCCATAGTTTGAGATGTAGCCAATGCGGAAATGGTGGGTTGCCTGGCAGGATCGGATCATGCAGGATTTCTTTGAGGTTTCCAAAAGCTGCGGCATGTTGTGGCATCCCTTTTTCGGCGGTTCAAGGAGTATAACCCTAAACCCTTTGAAGTATCCACTTGCACCATCCAGGGGCCACAGCAGGGAAGCTTGAAGTGCAAAGCAGACTTCCAATTTGTCGGGATACTTCTACTTGGAGGGTCAGGGGGACTTAGTAACTAGGTTAATAATGGGCATAATTGGGGTTAATTACTATATGGGTTATAGGGATTATGAACCTACTTACTAAGTCCCCCTGACCCTACAAGTAGACCCTAAGTCTTATCCCAAAGGGTCCAAGTACCCAATATTAGGGGTACCCAGGATGTGGGTAAGACCAATTGTAGTACAGGTTTTGGGGGAGCATATTCTTATGGGGCCTTCGACCCTTAGGGTATATGCACTGGCAGTAGTGGATGCCGAGAAATTTGGCTCCGACATGAAACGGTTCGCCAAAATTCAGCACGGACCCTGAAACTGCGCCAAAATCCCCAAACTCAGAACATGGAACCGTATGTGTATATACATATACCCTAAACCATATATATATATATTATTGTATTATGTCTCCACTAGCCAGCCGAAGGACCTTGCTTTGAGGGACCTTGGACTCATGCAATATGAGTCTACAGCTACCCCGAGGCTCATATGCAGTTTTAGGGTTTAGGGTTTAGGGTCTAGGGTCGTTTGCTTCGCCCCCTTCCCCAAAAACGTAACAAACCCAAAGAGGAACAACATATGGAGTTTCGGGCCAGAGAGATAAGACATAGTAACCGTTGGGCTATTTGGATTCCTGTAGGGCCCTAAACCCTAAACCCTAAACAGGCTTTAGGGCCACATGCAGGTATTATTTGTATGCTTGGGTACCCTAAGGGTCTATGTACCCAATAATTAGGTACTTGGGATATTGGTAATAGTGATTATAATACAGATTTTGGGTAAGTATATGACTATTGGGTACTTGGACCCTTAGGGCTAGGCAAATATCTTGTCTTGCCAGTCTCCGTCGCGCACGGACGGCACGGAAGATCCTCGGTTCTCTACCGGCGGCTTCAAGATCTTAGGCGGCCAACTGAGCATCAGGGCCTCATGGTTAAGGTTTAGGGTTTACGGTTTACGGTTTAGGGTTCAGGGGTTTAGGGGATTAGGGTTTTAGGGTTTAGGGTTAAGGGTTTCAGGCTAATCCCTATTGAGCCTAAAGCCACATTCATAACCCTGAAGCCCTAAACCTTTGTCAGGGGTCTATGGGAGTGAAAGGGTTTCGGGTGTATCTGGGTTTTGGGGTGCAGGTTTTGGGGTTTCCCTCGTGGCTGCTTTCTCATGAATTGGGGAGTCTGGCGGGATTTCGCTTGTGAGTCCTAGTATCCCCCTTAACCCTCCCTATGATATTCCCCTAAAATTGACCCTTTTGTGGAGTTTAGACTATAGATCACATGGGCATATAGCGGCGAGCTCAAAGCAGCAGAGGGGATTCTGCGATGCTCAGGTTTTAGGATTAGGCGTAAGTTGGGTCCGCATAGCTTTCTTACGCAAGTATGCATGCCTTCCAGTAGCCAAAGACAAGACTTTACCCCAATACTGGATAATCAAATGGAAAAGAAAGTGGAAAATGACAAGGACACCGTAGGTCCCTTTAAAGAGCTTCAGGGTATAGGGTTTAGGAGAATCACCTGGAAAAGAAAATGGAGAAGGAATGGAAACCGGGCGCAGGTAGGGATATTCAGGATTTTTGATCACTTGGCGGGTCACGGCAACTTATAAAGTAGATTCATACTGGGGATAACTGCGGTTAGTACATGGCTGCTAGGGGTTATAAGTATCCGTACTAAGTACCCCTGACCCTCCAAGTGCCTATCTTGGGCCCTAAAGTTTATGAAAGCTACCTACTCCGGGCGGCAATTTGGATCCCAAGGGAAACTGGCGACGAGCAAAAACATCTTAGACTCGCAACTTGGGATGCCCCAAGGATTCATGTAGGTATATCGTAGGTGGACCCCCCACCCAGTAATAGTGACTATTACGGATTATAGGGATTATATTAGGATCCTCTTCTATTCCTAGTATACCACTATTACAGGGTGGGGGGTCCTCCTAAGGTATATTGCATTGGGTTTACGGTTTAGGGCTTAGGGACATTGTAGCGTAAGCAAAGCCTGCTGTGCTTCAGCCCATTTGCCCTGTGGGACATTTGGCAACTCTGAGGATAGTTGTGGGCTGTGTCTATGCACCCAAGCCCTAAGGGTCCATGTGCTCAATAATTGAGTTCTCAGGGTTCAGGCAATAGGAATTGCATGTAGCAAAGGTTTTGAGCAAGTATAAAAGCATACTTGTTTTTGGAGCACCTTTCCCGCTAACCCCACTAGGCCCACTGCCAACCACTTGCCGTGCGGTAAGGTTTCCAGGGAGGTACTAAGCAGTATTGCTGCTAGCCATTGTTGTGAATATCTGCAGCTAGGTCATAATCGGGTTGTAAGTCAAATGTCTTCAGATTTCCGTGTTTCATCTAATGACATTCTCAACAGCATGACCTGGTCGAAGTCTATACTTAGTTTTGATGTTCAAATATGCCTACCATTTCGAGAAAACAGTTACCGCGTTATGGTAGTGTATATAAATATATATATATATATATATAGACGCCAGCCCAAGTCCCCCGGCTTGGGGGGGGGCAGGCCGATGGAGGTTCGGGTGGCACACCCTGCTCTGTGATGCCCCCGCTCGGATTGAGTGGCCCGGAGGGTGGCACTCCGTGCTGGAGCCCCGATGATGCATGCAGAGGGGCAAAGAAAGTGAGAGGGACCGTTTCCGTAGGCCGGAGGGCACCCCAGGTCGACACTCACTCACTCACTCACTCACTCAATCACTCACTCACTCACTCACTCAATAGGGCCTATGACGCAGTTATTCCTTCTGTTGGTAGCTCGGCTTCATTTCACTCCTCTTAGGTAGGGTCTAGGTTTTAGGGATACGTTGAATAGGCTTTGGGTGCTCGATATTTCATGTCAACCCCTAAGCCCTCAACCATAAGGAACCTCCGGCTCCAACAATACCACGCAAAGACCCGAACCCTGTACAGAAGATGCCTGAAGAATTACAAAAAATATCATGACCGAGGTTCCTTGGGTACTTATGGTAGAGGAAACTTCAAATGTACTTCAAATGGATATAGGGCTTTGTTTAGGACCGTAAGCTATACACGTCATGACATGGCTGGAAGGCGGTTACCAGGACCTCCTTCCGATCATTGCAGGGAGCTCAAGCGGCAGATTTCTCCATGATAGGATGTTGTGACCGGAGATTTTGGAAAGACTCGAGAAGGCGGTTCCTCCCAATTGTGGGCCCTTTCTTAAGGAGGTCCGAGTTTGCGGTTATTGAGGGTGTCTGTGATCAAGAAGGTGAAAGTGCTGTGATGAAACCAGTGGCGTTCTGGCCTCGGTTCTGAGTTTCTCTCTGGGGAAAGCGTCTTGGGAGGGTTCCTTCCTATCAGCAAGGGTCAGTTGGGTCTTGCCCTCAAAATGTTCAGGCATGTCCTGAAGCAGTAGGCGAGCCAATGAAGCCTCATCCCTCAGTGCCACCCCCTGAGCTACTGATCGAATCGTTAGGCAGGAAATGAAAAGTCTTGCCAAGCGACGGAACAACTTGTACCCTAAACCTCACACCATGTTCTGTCAGAAGTAAGTGAGTGCTGGGCCAGGATATTGGCTTTCCTGTTGAATCCTAAGCCCTAAATCCCTGGCCCTAGTTGCCAAAGGAGGCTGAGCTTGTTGAGTTCAAGAATCAAGCCCCAAAGGGTTCGTATAGCTGTCTAGAATATACTTGGGCCCCAGTAGTTATCTTGGAACCCCCTTGGGCCCTAAGTGTATATTATATACCTACATGGACCCTCTGGGAAGGATATTATACGGGAGCATATGGGGCTGTAAAGCATGCTCTCCATCAACAACGGGAATCCCAGAACAGAGATGGGGGGGAAGTTCCATTTGCCTTTACCTTCAGGGTCCATGTACCCAATAATAAGGTACTTGTGTGAGTGGCCATATATCCCGACTTCAGGGTATATGGAGGGCAGCCATCTAGAGATCTAGTTGTTTGGCACACATTGCTCAAACATGTGGAGGCTGGTGATAGCCCCTTGGCTGCAATCAGCGTGGCCTAGAACTAGAAACCCCCAAAGTTCGGGAGACCCCCCAAAACAGGGATTATTAGGGAAAACTGGAGCTCATTAAGGCTGACTAGGCCTGATTGTTTTGTGGAGCGGGAGCCATAATAGTCCTATGAAACAAATGCTGTGCGATAAAGTTGGCCCAGTCTGCCAGCGGCCTTCGCAGGT